TCCGACACTTCACGATGACGCTCTACCACCCGACGTCCACCTGTGCGATGGGCAGGGTGGTCGATCATCGACTCAGAGTCATCGGGGTCGAAGGGTTGAGGGTCGTCGATGCGAGTGTCATGCCGACCGTCGTCAGCGGGAACACCAACGCACCGACTATTATGATCGCGGAGAAGGGGGCTGATCTGATCAAAGAAGACTGGGGCTATTGAGCCTCTGAGGGCAGAAACGTTTAAGCGTTATCAAATATGTTGAAATCGTAGCTCTATTAGGAATTTTGAGGAACGTATGATTTCCGGTGAAAAAGCTTTGACATTCAGGCGCTCTATACTCAGTGGGACCTACACTGAAAAAAATGGTATGCCGTTTTAGCACCTAGGATGTCAAAAATATGTCTGGTGATCGTAAGAAGCTACCTTGATTCCCCACGCAGTTGAATTTGCATTCATAGGATGTAAAATTAACTGCCAGCTAGGTTAGTAAAGGCAGCATCTTGGGATCACCAGACACATGTTTGACATCCTAGGCGCTAAAACAGCATAGAATTATTCCGGTGTAGAGTATACATACTTTCGCAAGTTGATTACATTCAGTTTCATGCATTGAAATGTACGTACAATAATGGGTATCTACCAAAGCAGGTCGCCTCCATCAATCTGGATGATAAAATTGCCCAGTCCACGGACTGAGCTAGTTTTTTGCCCCGCCCGAGGACTTGCAATCCCCGTCTCCTAGTCTACCAACTGAGTAGCTAGATGGCGGACTGACCAGTCTAAAGTTTGAAAATTACGACAATTTGTCGATTTTTATTTTAGTTGCAATTCATGCGCTAACCAACTAATGTCCTCCACTGACCGATTTCTGACGAAAATTTTGCAATATGTTTGATTTAAAAAAAAATAAATAAAAAAAAAACAATACAAATCATACAAATGTACAGGTTACGTACATCAAGATTACAACTAGCCATTTCAATATCTTTTTGGAGTTTGAGCACAATTTTTTGCGAGTTTACGAACCTGCTAAATAGAAATTCGTTTCATCGAGGGAGGGATGAATGCAACTAGCAGACAAAGGATGTAAAAATGATGAAAAAGGATGGGTGAAAAAGGATGTAACCGCGAACTCACTTGCGCTATGTTAATTCAGTTGGGACGCGTTTCGGGGTCGAGATGGCCCCATCATCAAGACAAAGGATAGCTTACGGCGAAAATATTCATCAAAGTTTGTTCAGAAATTATTTCAACAGTTGGAAATCAGAAAATCAATTAAAGCCTGAAAGTCATAGACCAATCAGAGAGCGGCGTTTTTCTTTGTAGTAAAAGGATTGAATTGAAATACCTAGTTCCTCTACATAGGCACTGCATTATTCAGGTGCTACAACTAACGACAGCTTCCACGTATTTCTGAAGAGTTAAGAAAAGTGAAAACGCCTTCAGGTTTGAACATGCAACACGCACATCCAAGGAACACGAATAGTGGCATCAACGCGACACACCCAACTTACGATCAGGGTGTGTATTTGTAGGTGGTTATAATCATTGACTTGAATCTATCATTCTTAAAAAAGACTTAAATACCAAAAATTATAATACAAGGACAGTAAAAAAGGTTTTAATCAACCTATTTTAAGTTTCAGAGATCTGCAACATTGAAGCGATGAACTGATTAATGGCATTGTTACATAATCTGCAATTAAAAACGGGTCGATTATTACAGTTTCTGGTGTTTTTTTTCTCATTTCTAGGCCTTAAGTCTTTAAAATTATTGGCCTTGGATACTCTAGCCTCGTGTCACTAACTGGGTAATACTCTCCCTAAATAAATGCTCTGTTACTTGAGTACAATGACCGGCGAGTCCCGTGCATCTCTGAAGAAGTGAGAAAAAAGAAAATGCCTTCTATTTTTAACATGCAACACGCACATCCGTGGAAATAATCCGTGGACAAATAGTTACGTCAAGACGCTGTAGTCGACTCAATCTAGTCTCTATAAAAGAGAAACGCCGCCAATCTTCAAATGTGTTAAACGAACATCCAAGGAACTGAAGAATTCAGCTTTCATTGAGTAAAGACCTTCTTCCGTAGACGATCACATAAGACGTAATTTTTCCGTAACTAATTTTATCGGAATACCCTACATTCAGAAACAATTCCAGTACCTGTATACTTATCATCCTTACTTTGAGGAAGTTTAAAAAGCCAGAGCCCATAACATTCATCTCAGCTTATCTTAGTGACTGTACTCTCTGAAATTATTGAAACCTTTAATTCTCTATACTTCTTCTGTTGGTCATTTTAGCAGCAAATATTTTGGAGCTTTGCCATTTTTTACGTTCACAGCAAGCAAGCGATTAAATTTTTCCAAGTTGCCAGTGAGGTGCTGCTCAATTGGATAGAGGAGTGTACAATGAAGACAACCTTCCCCCGTCTTTTCTGCAAGATTAATCGTCGTCCTCCTCTGATCAGTTGGCGCGAGAAGGTTCATTTACGACACCTACTCTCAAAATAACTTTCCATCCCTACAAACTTAGTCACACGCACACTTACGAGATAAAATGTATGTTTTAGGTTGTCGGTGGCTCCAGCGTTCTGAATTACATGATTTACGTACGTGGGAATCGGAATGATTACGATCTCTGGGAACGGATGGGAAACCCCGGATGGAGTTACAAGGAAGTTCTCAAGTATTTTCTCAAATCCGAGGACAACTCTAACAAGGACCTCCTCAAAACCCCTTACCACGCCTCCGGCGGTTTGCTTAGCGTCCAAGACCTTCGTTGGACAACACCCCTCGCTGAAGTCTTCCTGAAAGCTGGCAAGTTCCTCGGCTACAAAACTCGCGACGTGAATGGAGAGAACCAAGAGGGTTTCACGATCCTGCAGAGCACAACTCGAAATGGATCTAGATTCAGTACATCCAGGGCTTTCATCACAACTGCGCAGACGAGGCAGAATCTCGACATCTCAATGTATAGCCACGTCACTAAAATCGGCTTTAAGAGGGAGAAAAATCCCAGAGCAAGCTCAGTGACCTACATTAAAAACGGTCAGAAATACACCGTTAGGGTAAAAAAAGAGGTGGTCTTATCTAGTGGCGCCATTGGTTCTCCTCAGCTCCTTATGCTGTCTGGAGTTGGACCCAAAAATCACCTGAGCGCACTTGGCATAAAACTGATTAAGGACCTCCCGGTCGGGCAAA